TTTCAGCAGGTTGAGTCACTCGATGAAGAAGTATGGTTTTAAACAAGTCTTGGCAGATCACACTGTGTTCTATAAAAGGAAGGTGATGATATTATATTGCTTATTTATTTATAGTGATGACATCTTGTTTCAGGCAGTGACAGAAGTGAGGTAAAGAAACTTCAAAACTACTTGGCCAAGGAATTTGAGATAAGGACTTGGGAACTTTAAAATATTTCTTGGGGCAATGAAGGGTCTCAATTCAAGCAAAGATTCTTTCTATCACAACAGAAATACACATTAGATCTCCTGACTGAAATTGGTAACTCAACGTGTTAAGATGAACCATGGTCTTGCTTTCTAGCTGGATCAGGTTCCAAAGAATAACGAGACGTATCAAAGGTTGTAGAGATCAATGCTGTTAGTGTTGTGAGCCAATTCATCCATGTGAATTGTATCTCGGTTTACTTGAAATCCTCTCCATGTAAAGGTGTTATGTTCTCTTGACATAACCACCTGGATATTGTGGAATATATTCATTTTGATTTGCTGGATCCAAATTAGATGGAAAATCTATCTTAGGGTATCTGTCATTTGTTGGAGGTATCTAAGTAACTCAGAGGAGTGAAAATAGGATGTTGTATCACTAAAGCAGAATACCGCGCCCTCCATATTATAAAGCTTACTTGACTCAAAATTTTCTCTGATGAATTGGGTACGATACAAAAAAAAAAAAAACAAAACAACAGCGTTCTTTTGTGAAAACACAGCAACTATTAAGTTTATCAAAAATCCAGTTTAGCTATGGCTTCATGGTCGTTAGGGCAACTCTCCTTCCTTTGCATTTTGGTTCGTGTCCCAGTAAAAATGGAGCTGGTGTATTGTTTTATTCGTGTCTTTACTAGATCCTCTTTATGTGGTATGTCTATCAACCCCGCGGTGTCTTACCTATTCACTGGACTTGCAGGATATTTAATGGGTCGTGGGATTAGTCGTGGTGCGCGTAAGCTAGCCCGGATACCTACGTTAATAAAAAAAAAAACAAAAAAAAATTCAATTTAACAATAATGAGAATTGTAATTCACCTGGTAAGTTTCTAAATTTATTCTTTATAAATTATAATTTAAGTTTCACAAATCTTATAATTATTGAAAGTTTACATGGTAATTAATTTTAGAATCTATTAAATTAATCAAAATATACACAAATTAATCTAAATACCTATATTAATCTAAAAAAAATTAAGTTTAGCCTGTTTAACAAAGCTAGGAGCTATGCTAATATAATAACTCATGTTATTACTAGTGGTCTTTTTCATATATCACTATCGAAGTTGAGCATGTGTGATTTAAGGGAGACTTTAAAGTATATTAGTTGCATACAACTATCAATTGGTTAGCTGATTGTTGTCAATTTTTTTATTTTTTATTTTATTGATTGTTATCAATTGGTTAGCTGATTGTTGTCAATTAAGTGGGTGAATTTTAGCCTAACTTTTAGCTCCAGGATTGTAGCCTATTCAATTTTATAGTTAACTTACCTAAATGATTGATATTTGTCCAATATAAATACCCCTTTCGTGATATAAATAAAATTATCCAGCCTAATTCTATTCTTCAATTGAAAAATATTAGAATTCCCTGATGTCACAACAAACCTAACAAAAAGATTTAGAAAGGCAAAAACACCAAACTTAGAAATCATGGGTTATCTTGATAAATTTATAAACTACACTCACCTTATAAAAAAAAAATTACAAGCTAAATTTTTAATAATCTTAATTTTAAATGATAAAATTGATAAAAATAAATTTTTAAAAAATTATAAAAAAAATAAAAAAAAAACATTGTAAATTACTATTGTAATTCACAATACAATAGGTGTTGAGTAAACAATGGTTTTACCACATTCTTTAATTTTTGTTAATTTATAAAGTTTAATACAATGATTTTTTTAAAAAAACTATTTTTTCAATAATATAAGAAAAAATAGATTATAAAAAAATCAAGTTTAATTTAAAAAAATAAACTCATTAAATCTATAAACTGGACAACCTGAATTACCTTGACAAACTTGCAAATCACACTAATCTTATATAAAAATAAAATAAAAAAAAATTACAAAGTTAAATTCTCAACCAACTCAATATTAAAAAAAAATTATAAAATTAAATTCTTAATCAATTTAATATTAAAAAAATAAACAAAAAAAATATTAAAAATCATTTTAATAAAACAAAACAAAAAATTATATAAAAAAATATTATAGAAATCCACTTTATCTTGTTGAAAAAGCTATAATGCTTTCCAGTAGCTTAGATGGAGTGTATGCATTGAAGAAAGAGGGAATCAACTCTCAAATGTCAGATAATTGGAACTTACCAGCCTGGAAGTTCTACTTAAAAACCCTTTAACAACTCGAACACAACCTGTACATGGCTCAGTATCTCTCAACATCAATGCTACAGTGTTTGATTCACCTGCAGACGGAGCATTTCTACTCCTGCCTCTGTCATGAATTATATTGAAAGGTTTTCTATCTGCAGGTGAAGCATTTCTACATCAGCCCATGTCATGAATTACATTGAGAGGTTCTCTAATAATTCTTCTTCGGGATATTTTCTTTATTCTTCAAACATGAACGACACAACCATTCATCAACCGATATTCTTTTTACACCAGGACTGCAGCAAGATACATGAAATGAATCTTCACTATTATCACAAATTAGCTTCTTTACCAGGGATTCTGCATGAAAACATTTTTTCAAAGAAGTACTGCTATCACTACCACTACCATCACCAAAATAAATTTATAAACTACACTCATCTTATATATAAAAAAAATAAAAAGAAGTAAATTACGAGCTAAATTCTTAATAATCTTAATTTTAAAAGATAAAATCGATAAAAAAAAATTAAAAAATCATAACAAAAATTAAAAAGAAAAAAAATAAAACACTATAGATTACTATTGTAATTCACAATACAATAGGTGTCGGGTAAACAATAGTTTTCCGTATCTTTTAATTTTTGTTAATTTATAAAATTTAATACAATGATTTTTTTTAAAACTATTTTTTCAATAATATAAGAAAAAATAGATTATAAAAAAATCAAGTTTAATTTAAAAAAATAAACTCATTAAATCTATAAACTGGACAACCTGAATTACCTTGACAAACTTGCAAATCACACTAATCTTATATAAAAATAAAATAAAAAAAAATTACAAAGTTAAATTCTCAACCAACTCAATATTAAAAAAAAATTATAAAATTAAATTCTCAACCAATTCAATATTAAAAAATAAAATAAACAAATTTTTTTTAAAAAAAATCATTATAATAAAACAAAACAAAAAACCATATAAAAAAATATTATAAAAATCCACATTATCTTGTTTAAAGAGCCATAATGCTTTCCCACGTTATTTAGTTTTTTTCGTACTAATAATAATGAAATCCAGTAGCTTAGATGGAGTGCATGCATTGAAGAGGGAATCAACTCTCAAATGTCAGACAATTGGAACTTACCATCCTGGAACTTCTACTTAAAAACCCTTTAACATCTCGAACACAACCTGTACATGGCTCAGTATCTCTCAACATCAATGCTACAGTGTTTGATTCACCTGCAGACGGAGCATTTCTACTCCTGCCTCTGTCATGAATTATATTGAAAGGTTTTCTATCTGCAGGTGAAGCATTTCTACATCAGCCCATGTCATGAATTACATTGAGAGGTTCTCTAATAATTCTTCTTCGGGATATTTTCTTTATTCTTCAAACATGAACGACACAACCATTCATCAACCGATATTCTTTTTACACCAGGACTGCAGCAAGATACATGAAATGAATCTTCACTATTATCACAAATTAGCTTCTTTACCAGGGATTCTGCATGAAAACATTTTTTCAAAGAAGTACTGCTATCACTACCACTACCATCACCAATTCTTTTAGCAGAAGCACAGAAATGAGTACTCATGTGACCATTGATTAAAGGTTTCAAGATTTTGTACTGCTGCTCTTCTTCTTTACCTGAAATGTTATCTGTAACCAAATTTCCATTCGAAGAATCCAAACTTCGTGTACATTGATGATCCATCGTAACAAATTCTCTTATTGCCGAAAGAAAAAAATCATAGTATATTTGCTACATTCATTGACCATAACACAAATTTCAATTTCTGGTCCCCCGTGTACAGTTTCTATCTAAAATACTTCTTATTACACGTCTTAGATTTTATCTGGGTTTTGAAAGAAACTGATGAGAAGAGATTGTACAGTCGAAAGTGTAAAATCAAATCTACTAATCATGAAAGCTTTGCTCCTAGATCCCTCATAAACTGTTGAAGCAATGCTGATGAACCAGCACATTCCTCTGCCTGAATTCCCACAGATGATGAAGGTACTTGATTATCTCGCAAGTCTAACATCAAGACAACTGGAAGCAAGAAAGTATGAAATATTGTTTTGGTAGTCTAGTTGTTTGTTGCCTGTTGAACCAGTGGCCTGTGAGGTTTTGGAGCTGAAAAAAAGAAGTTATTATCGAGTGTCCGGTGAACACAAATTCAATTAAAGATATAATGTTACTGTCTAAACTTCAGTGCTTAGCATGTATTACTCGTAGGACTGTATAGATAAGCAAACAAGGTAGATGCATCCCAACCCATGCGACATGATGGATTGATGAATGTGTAATGCATAATGCTAAAGCTAACCTCAATATAATAATGGTGCACGGGTGGGTGGGTGTCCCAGTGGTTATCTCTCTTCCAAGAGGAGAAATGAGGTGAAAGTACATCACTTTTAATAATTTCTTACAGATCTTCACAGTTCAGGGAATCGCCAACATCAAAGCATGCAAGAGATCATGACTGCAATACGCATCATATAATCAAATAATAATTGCTAAGAGGGCGTGCAAAGTGCTAGTCATTTCAGACTCCAAAGTTGGTTTGGTCATAATAATTACTAGAAGACATTCAATAAAATTGCCTTCCATTCAGTTCACAAAATTCCAGTTCATGTGTCCATATGCATCATGTATGGCTGTAGCTGGGCAATCGAGCTCATACCATTGGGGTTCCCTTGTTCATAGAAACGTCGTAGAAGAGAGACTGCTTCAAGTGCCATTATTCCTCCAGTACATTTGAAATCTTTCCTTCGTGCAATGTCCCCACTGACAAAATGTGGAACATATTGTGCATGAATTCAATTGCACAATTCCCTAATAAATGGAAGATGTTTCTAAAAGAGAATCTCTACCAAATAATTTAAGGACCTTGCACTGGGAACCAGACAAGCAGGGTATCACATAACAATAACCTAAAACATCTACCATGAGTAGTCCATAACAAATTATACTTTTCTTTTGTAATAACAATCTGAAAGCAGAGGTTTGATATTTAAATCCAAACCATAAAACACCCAAGTGACCCCAAGCATCATATTCCATCATCGGAACTATTCAGAATGAAAACACTCTTTTAATTTTTCTTGATGTCAAGTGGCAGTAAGGTTCATATTCCATCACCATATTCATATTAGCTACTTTCTCTTTGGTATATGAATTTTTATCCTCCATTTCATCACATTATTCATTTGTGCAAAATGCACAAATAAGGCATATTTTTGAGGTCTGGTATGCATTATCCACTTATGAATGATCATGAACGAACTGAAATATGGTACATAGATATGTACCTGTTAGGTAGTTTAGAGCTGCTACAATGCAATGACAATATTGATCCACAACCTCCAAATTTATCATTTGCGCATCCATAATATACTTCTTTTATACCTAAGTCAGGGGAACAGATTCAGCACTAACTGATCAGACTAGCTGTAAATAAGAAAGTAAGTTAGCAATGATTGGAGTCTTGCCATTAAAGGAGAAACAACATACCAAGTATCGACAAAGCTGCAGCACACATTATACATGGTTCACATGTAACATAGAGACTGCATGTTGAAAATTTTTCAGCAACTTCTGACACTGAAAGTCCACTTTTTTGCCACTGTTCAAGAAGAACATCAATTGCTTCCATCTCTGCGTGTCTTGTAGCCTGCCATAAGAAATTAAGGGAAGTGCCACCTTATTAATGAATGCATGCTACCAAAGCTCCCCCATCTCAACCCTAACACAAACCTACAAGGAGAGTACAAGAATACAGAGGAGGTAGATTTGATGTCTTTAATGCCTTCATATATATACTGTCTCCAATTCTTGTCCAAATCACATCAACCCTTTTCTTCTTCTTTTTGGAATAACACCAACCCAATTTACAACCACAAGTTACTAAGCTGAAATATAGGGCAATGTCCTAACTCATAACAAAGACTGGCTGATTGACCTCCAGATCCTAGTGGTGAACTTATTTAACACTAAGGAAAAAGAATTCAGCTTTCAAGAAACACTAATGAGGCCGAAATAGTGAAAGCTAAACATATCCTGATATTTGGTTTGCTTGAGCTAGTGTTGTCAAGAGGCGTTGAGGCACTCACCTAGGTACTCTAGGAGAGGCAAGACCCTAGTGCCTTTTATTTTTCCAGGCAAGGCAATTTAACTAGGCACTCACCTGGAGTGCAAGCACCGGGTGCTGAAGCGAGTGCCTGGTCAAAATATATGTTCTATTTCCCCTTTTTTTAATTGATATGTGTTTTGACCTATTTGCCCATATTCTTTCTATTCACCACCAAAAATAATTTAAGGATGTCATTGCAAAAGTAAAGAATAGGATTTAAAAGACAAAAAAAGATCATCAAAATAGAGTTGAGGCACATTTGGCAGCCACACTTTTCCAAAGAATCAGTTACATGTTTTGTTTGTTTCTTCATTTATTTTATCTCTTCTTTTTCTTTTTTCGCTTATGTAGTCTCTCTCTCTCCATCTTATTTCTTCTTTACCTGTCTTCTTCTCTTTCTTTAAATATCCACGTGTTATGCTGCTGAAATTTTTACTTTTTTTTTTTAATAAAAGAACATTTTTTTTCAAATCTCAAGTTCATCACTCATCAAACTTCACAATTGATTTTTTTTCTTGCCATGTTTATTGTGTCTGAAACTTCAGTTTATTCTCTTTTTTTTTTTTATTCAACTTAGTTTATTCCAAACTTTAGCATTTTAAGTTTAACTATTTTAATGGACTTGCTCTTTTAATTTTTTTTATTTTGTTTTTAAGGGTGAATAGTATAACTTTTTATGACTATGTTAAAACATTTTGAGTTTCACTTTGATTTCCTAATCTTAATTTTTAACATATATATATTTGTGATTTATATAGTATAATATTATACATATATTTTTTTTTAATTTATAGCAGAGCGCCATGTTTTATTCAGCCGTGCGCCTGACGCTTCAAGGGCTTGAGCTTTGGCTTAACTATGCAACATGGATATCTCAAGGTTTAGCTCAAATTTCAACTAAATTTGGGATCAGAAGCATTCCTATGACCAATTAGACTGAGTTGCACATTTGCACTTGAATAGAAAGAAAGGACAGTTAAAAATGTTCAAGCAACTAAATTATTAAATAATACAACTAAAGGACAATGTATGAGCTAAACCAAGCAAAAAGTTGATCAATTGGTAAGCTTACATTTCTTGTCTCTGTTGTTCGATTTCTCCCAGATGCAATGACCTTCCCATCTTCAACAATAACACAACTGGTCAAACATAACAATTTTACATAAGGTTTCATTCAATAACCCCACTGAAATGGAAAAACAAAATTAATCATTGGAAAAAAAAAATTGTAACTTGGTTGCATCATTAAAGACCAGTTGGTAGAAATATAAAGCATGATACTTTTAACAAGTAGATGGTACAACAAGGTCAGCTTGGTTGGATCAACATTTGGGATTGCAGCATGCTTAATTGCCTGAAGGCATTCACCAGGTCATTTGATATAAATGCAAGAAAAATAATATAAGCATATTACTCAATTTAGTTAATAGTCATGGATTTATTGATATTTCCAATCAGAATGCAAATTCTGCCGAGATATTTCGTAAATTTTGCTTACATGATGCTTGCACTTCCTTATTTTTGAGTTTTTCCCACTTACCATCTTAGGTTTTGGGTTTCCAATTTTTATGATCCAGTTATCCATATGATCAATGTGCTGAGATTGGGATTGTGGGATCTGAAACAAGGTCAAGCTGGGGAATAAGGTGACAGACTACCAAGTGCCAAACTTGGCATGAATTGAGGGAACCTAGGCCCTACAATTATGTCACCAAGAGATTTATGAGAGAAGACAAACAATCCAGCAGATTCCTGGCATGCTTTGTGCTCACATAATTGAGCTCAAATTTGAAGATGGGTAGAGATGAACTCAGGGTGCTAACTCTGTATACAAAGTCAGGCATGGGCCCAGCCCAACACAGCCTCACTTCATAATTTTGTCAAACTTAATCATTACTCAACTCCATCCAATGTCACAAAGGAAATCATAATGTTTTTCATAGAACAAGACCTGACTATGAAGCATTCCCAACTGATTAGAAGAAAACACTTTTAGCCATAGAATCCCAACAGTTAAATTGGACACCACATTGAAAGGAACACCAAGCAGTGAAAACAATGTTGTATAAGGTTACTGATAAAAAATAGCATTCGGGATATCTCAATAATTAAAATGGCCAACCTAAAAGGCTAAGGTTTCAAAGTTGCTCGAGTGGCAAATCTTCCGTTGGTGAATCACATTACAATTGTTAAAGCTTAAAACTTTGAAAGATTACTCAAAGAAAGTATTTTGAAAGTATTTTGAAAGATTAACATTATCACTAGAAAAATAATCATAGGATAAAGCTTACCCGACAGGCACTTCAAGGCTGTTCAGAGCTTCTTTCGCCTGTTGCACCAAAAAGAAGAAATAAATTAAACCCAGAAATGTAAACAAGAATCTAAATTGAAAGCAATAAAGAAGCATTCCCTGGTTACCCTTTTGCCTAATATAATCATCTCAGTTAACACAAAGGTTTTCATGGATTACCTGTTCTATAGCGAGCTCCATGAATGCCAAAGTCTCAGAAGAACACCCTTCTTCCACATGAGAATCCATCTATGAAATACTGAGATAGAGAAATCACCAAAAGAATCAATAAGAACTCAAGCCTGTTGGTTTTTCAGTGATGTGTTTAACTTGTTTGTTACAATGCCTAAACAAAATTACAAGCTTTGAAGCTTCAAGTTTGGCTAGTGCAAGTGGTTGTTGTTAGCATCTCAGTGAGGTGTTTCTTTATGAGGATTTAGAATGGTCTATAACCTTGAATTTAATAACAAGAAAAATATATGATAATTAAATAAAGCAAAATTGAGAATAACGAGAAAAATACCAAAAAAGATTGAAACTTTAGTGAGAATTTCTGGTCTATAACCTTGAATTCAAGTGGGATTTTCAATCCAACAAATATAAGATAATTAAACAAAGAAAAAATTGAGAATTCCAAAGAAAAAAATTTTAAAAAAAAAATCAGCACTAGTAACTAGGGAATTCAAAGAAAATCCTGGAATTTGGGGGAAACCATGTAGAATTAGGTGAACTGCTAGAAAAGCTAAAAGATTCCACCTTTTTGGTGATGTAATTGTGAAGTAACAAATACCCTAAAACCCTAAAAAGTACAAGCGAGAAAAGTATCAATTATTTCTGTAGATGAAAAGGAGAGAAGGCCAAGAGTAAAAAGAATATTTTACAAAAGAGGAGGAACCTAGATCCATATAAAAAAAAATCCCTTTATAAAATCAAACCCCATTTTACTAATCTTAAAGAGAATAAAGATAATCCTGATGGATTGAGAGCAACATATAACCCTTGTAATCTAAACAATTATGATGGAAGAAAAGGTGCCTAAAAGAAAATGGAAATAACCATCCATGTATAATGCAAACGAAAACAGATTATCATGAATGGTTATGCAAGGACAATATGTTTATGCATGGGCATTCCAATAGTCTGATTACAAGTTCACACACAACAGATCTACCACAATGACATCAACAGTTTATGGGGGGGGAAAATGTCCAAAGCAAACTCTTCTGGTTCCTGTAAAAGCTTCTAAAGGATAAACACTTGGAAAGATAACACTTTTAAATTGATGCTTCACACTGGACTCGGCAACATTAAAAAATGGGCTCCACAACATGTTATGACATGCAATGTACTTATCCATAAACATATATTGGTTACAGAGGCAAATAAGACTTGGAATTGGAGTGGTTCTAGAAACAAGCAATAAAAATCAGGCTCACTGCGATAAAAAGAAAGACTTTCAAGCAATGACAATTCCATTAATCTATTTCCAATAGTCTGATCACACTTGGAATTGTAGTGGTTCTAGAAACAAGCAATAAAAATCAGGCTCACTGCGATAAAAAGAAAGACTTTCAAGCAATGACAATTCCATTAATCTATTTCCAATAGTCTGATCACACTTGGAATTGTAGTGGTTCTAGAAACAAGCAATAAAAATCAGGCTCACTGCGATAAAAAGAAAGATTTTCAAGCAATGAAAATTTCATTAATCTATTTCCAATAGTCTGATCACAAATTTTCACACAACAGCTTATGTCCGTGACAAGAACAACAATCAGGCTGTGTGAAGAGTTCTTGTATAAAAAATCATTCTTTCCTTTCTTGTCTATGCATGAGAAGAAGAAAAAAAATGAAATGAAATATAAAATTGCAGTTTACTTATGATTTTTGCGGTATTTGGTATTGAGGTTAAACCTGCTTTTCATCAAAAAAAATTTAAAAAAATTGCTTCAAATTATTTATTTTTTTATGTTTTTTTATTGTTTTAACATACTAATATAAAAATGAATATAAAAAATAAAAACATTTTTAAGTTAAAAACATTTCGAAAAACAACCTCTACACAACTTTCAAACACCCTCGAGCTATAGGTAACAAGAGCTGGTTTGCCTAGGTCTGCGCATACAGAAACAGAGAGACAACCAGAGCAAGTTTCAAAAACATACTCCTGCAAACACGTTTCAAAATTGAATTTCAATAAGCTAAACACTGAAAAGAAATCAACTCAAACAAAAATAAAGACAAACCACCATCATAATTACAAGGTCTAGTAATTTGGTAAAAAAGATCAATAAATAAACCAACCAAAACCCAGTTTTAAACACATACGTAGCATGCAAAAGGTTAACCTTTCATCCAAGGAGGACAAACTCCTTTTACCTCTCTCTCACTTGCTCCACAAAAAAAAAATGGATATTTTAAGCCTGCCCAAGTCAATTATATTCTACAGGGAGATAAAAAAACTTCCATGTGCAGCAATTCTTTTTGAAAAGCAAAGCATGACTAATCAGGCAATTGGCCCATTTGGCAAATAATCATGTGATAGAAAGGACAATGTGCTAACTAATGTTTGCAATTCCATTTTGAAAGTAAACTTTTGGGACTGACCTAAGCGAGAGGGGTGGTTGCTGGCTGCGCCGCGCGAGATAGAGGGAGGAGGGTGGTGCCGTGATTTTACGAGTTAACTCGCGATTTTGACACCAATGCTCACGACAGTTTCTCTCTCCTCTCAGTGCATGTTCTTGTTGATTTCGGCCTCCACCACCACCCTTAGCCACCACAAACGAGGTCCAAGCGTAAAAACTATGTATTGAAAACTGGGAAGAGAAGAAAAAAGAAGAGCTGAAATTGAATATATTTCAAGCTTGAATTGAAGGTTCGTTCAAGAAGAAGAAGCAAATTGGGTGAAATGAAGAAGGCATTGGTGGAATTAGGGATTCGATTTCTACGGGATTTCTCTTTTTTTCTTTCAAATTCTTCTCTTCTTATTTACCCCCGACTTTCCGACCGTCGCTTGTCGCCTGAACATTTCAATACAACGATGATTTTTACCCCTGTTCAAAACGACGTTCTTAATTATAAAAAAAAAAAAATCATCCTTGGGTCAACCGCTGGTCACCTAGGTTTGACCGTGCGAATTTCCAACTAGGCTAGTAGCTATCCTGATGAACCCGAAACGGTCTAGAACCCGGGTCCACTAGTTCTTGGGTTGAACCAGTGGTTGGCGCAAGTTTTAAAACACTGAATAAGACTACCTATAATATAATTGTGAGGTGTTTTTTTTAGGTTTGCTCTTTATTGAAAACCTAGAAATTTAGAAAGGACAAATATATTCCCTTTAAAAAGTATTTATATTTTATTAAATTATTTCTCTCGGAAGATAAATAATGCCTTATTAAACTATTCACGTTAGTTAGTATTTATAAAGGATTTTGACAACTGTTATTTTACATGAAAGAATCCAAACTTCGTGTACATTGATGATCCATCGTAACAAATTCTCTTATTGCCGAAAGAAAAAAATCATAGTATATTTGCTTCATTCATTGACCATAACACAAATTTCAATTTCTGGTCCCCCGTGTACAGTTTCTATCTAAAATACTTCTTATTACACGTCTTAGATTTTATCTGGGTTTTGAAAGAAACTGATGAGAAGAGATTGTACAGTCGAAAGTGTAAAATCAAATCTACTAATCATGAAAGCTTTGCTCCTAGATCCCTCATAAACTGTTGAAGCAATGCTGATGAACCAGCACATTCCTCTGCCTGAATTCCCACAGATGATGAAGGTACTTGATTATCTCGCAAGTCTAACATCAAGACAACTGGAAGCAAGAAAGAATGAAATATTGTTTTGGTAGTCTAGTTGTTTGTTGCCTGTTGAACCAGTGGCCTGTGAGGTTTTGGAGCTGAAAAAAAGAAGTTATTATCGAGTGTCCGGTGAACACAAATTCAATTAAAGATATAATGTTACTGTCTAAACTTCAGTGCTTAGCATGTATTACTCGTAGGACTGTATAGATAAGCAAACAAGGTAGATGCATCCCAACCCATGCGACATGATGGATTGATGAATGTGTAATGCATAATGCTAAAGCTAACCTCAATATAATAATGGTGCATGGGTGGGTGGGTGTCCCAGTGGTTATCTCTCTTCCAAGAGGAGAAATGAGGTGAAAGTACATCATTTTTAATAATTTCTTACAGATCTTCACAGTTCAGGGAATCGCCAACATCAAAGCATGCAAGAGATCATGACTGCAATACGCATCATATAATCAAATAATAATTGCTAAGAGGGCGTGCAAAGTGCTAGTCATTTCAGACTCCAAAGTTGGTTTGGTCATAATAATTACTAGAAGACATTCAATAAAATTGCCTTCCATTCAGTTCACAAAATTCCAGTTCATGTGTCCATATGCATCATGTATGGCTGTAGCTGGGCAATCGAGCTCATACCATTGGGGTTTCCCTGTTCATAGAAACGTCGTAGAAGAGAGACTGCTTCAAGTGCCATTATTCCTCCAGTACATTTGAAATCTTTCCTTCGTGCAATGTCCCCACTGACAAAATGTGGAACATATTGTGCATGAATTCAATTGCACAATTCCCTAATAAATGGAAGATGTTTCTAAAAGAGAATCTCTACCAAATAATTTAAGGACCTTGCACTGGGAACCAGACAAGCAGGGTATCACATAACAATAACCTAAAACATCTACCATGAGTAGTCCATAACAAATTATACTTTTCTTTTGTAATAACAATCTGAAAGCAGAGGTTTGATATTTAAATCCAAACCATAAAACAACCAAGTGATCCCAAGCATCATATTCCATCATCGGAACTATTCAGAATGAAAACACTCTTTTAATTTTTCTTGATGTCAAGTGGCAGTAAGGTTCATATTCCATCACCATATTCATATTAGCTACTTTCTCTTTGGTATATGAATTTTTATCCTCCATTTCATCACATTATTCATTTGTGCAAAATGCACAAATAAGGCATATTTTTGAGGTCTGGTATGCATTATCCACTTATGAATGATCATGAACGAACTGAAATATGGTACATAGATATGTACCTGTTAGGTAGTTTAGAGCTGCTACAATGCAATGACAATATTGATCCACAACCTCCAAATTTATCATTTGCGCATCCATAATATACTTCTTTTATACCTAAGTCAGGGGAACAGATTCAGCACTAACTGATCAGACTAGCTGTAAATAAGAAAGTAAGTTAGCAATGATTGGAGTCTTGCCATTAAAGGAGAAACAACATACCAAGTATCGACAAAGCTGCAGCACACATTATACATGGTTCACATGTAACATAGAGACTGCATGTTGAAAATTTTTCAGCAACTTCTGACACTGAAAGTCCACTTTTTTGCCACTGTTCAAGAAGAACATCAATTGCTTCCATCTCTGCGTGTCTTGTAGCCTGCCATAAGAAATTAAGGGAAATGCCACCTTATTAATGAATGCATGCTACCAAAGCTCCCCCATCTCAACCCTAACACAAACCTGCAAGGAGAGTACAAGAATACAGAGGAGGTAGATTTGATGTCTTTAATGCCTTCATATATATACTGTCTCCAATTCTTGTCCAAATCACATCAACCCTTTTCTTCTTCTTTTTGGAATAACACCAACCCAATTTACAACCACAAGTTACTAAGCTGAAATATAGGGCAATGTCCTAACTCATAATAAAGACTGGCTGATTGACCTCCAGATCCTAGTGGTGAACTTATTTAACACTAAGGAAAAAGAATTCAGCTTTCAAGAAACACTAATGAGGCCAAAATAGTGAAAGCTAAACAAATCCTGATATTTGGTTTGCTTGAGCTAGTGTTGTCAAGAGGCGTTGAGGCACTCACCTAGGTACTCTAGGAGAGGCAAGACCCTAGTGCCTTTTATTTTTCCAGGCGAGGCAATTTAACTAGGCACTCACCTGGAGTGCAAGCACCGGGTGCTGAAGCGAGTGCCTGGTCAAAATATATGTTCTATTTCCCCTTTTTTTAATTGATATGTGTTTTGACCTATTTGCCCATATTCTTTCTATTCACCACCAAAAATAATTTAAGGATGTCATTGCAAAAGTAAAGAATAGGATTTAAAAGACAAAAAAAGATCATCAAAATAGAGTTGAGGCACATTTGGCAGCCACACTTTTCCAAAGAATCAGTTACATGTTTTGTTTGTTTCTTCATTTATTTTATCTCTTCTTTTTCTTTTTTCGCTTATGTAGTCTCTCTCTCTCCATCTTATTTCTTCTTTACCTGTCTTCTTCTCTTTCTTTAAATATCCAAGTGTTATGCTGCTGAAATTTTTACTTTTTTTTTTTAATAAAAGAACATTTTTTTCAAATCTCAAGTTCATCACTCATCAAACTTCACAATTGATTTTTTTTCTTGCCATGTTTATTGTGTCTGAAACTTCAGTTTATTCTCTTTTTTTTTTTTATTCAACTTAGTTTATTCCAAACTTTAGCATTTTAAGTTTAACTATTTTAATGGACTTGCTCTTTTAATTTTTTTTATTTTGTTTTTAAGGGTGAATAGTATAATACTTGCTCTTTTAATTTATTTATTTTTGTTTTTAAGGGGGAATAGTATAACTTTTTATGACTATGTTAAAACATTTTGAGTTTCACTTTGATTTCCTAATCTTAATTTTTAACATATATATATTTGTGATTTATATAGTATAATATTATACATATATTTTTTTTTAATTTATAGCAGAGCGCCATGTTTTATTCAGCCGTGCGCCTGACGCTTCAAGGGCTTGAGCTTTGGCTTAACTATGCAACATGGATATCTCAAGGTTTAGCTCAAATTTCAACTAAATTTGGGATCAGAAGCATTCCTATGACCAATTAGACTGAGTTGCACATTTGCACTTGAATAGAAAGAAAGGACAGTTAAAAATGTTCAAGCAACTAAACTATTAAATAATACAACTAAAGGACAATGTATGAGCTAAACCAAGCAAAAAGTTGATCAATTGGTAAGCTTACATTTCTTGTCTCTGTTGTTCGATTTCTCCCAGATGCAATGACCTTCCCATCTTCAACAATAACACAACTGGTCAAACATAACAATTTTACATAAGGTTTCATTCAATAACCTCACTGAAATGGAAAAACAAAATTGTAACTTGGTTGCATCATTAAAGACCACTGAAATGGAAAAACAAAATTAATCATTGGAAAAAAAAAATTGTAACTTGGTTGCATCATTAAAGACCAGTTGGTAGAAATATAAAGCATGATACTTTTAACAAGTAGATGGTACAACAAGGTCAGCTTGGTTGGATCAACACTTGGGATTGCAGCATGCTTAATTGCCTGGAGGCATTCACCCAGGTCATTTGATATAAATGCAAGAAAAATAATATAAGCATATTACTCAATTTAGTTAATAGTCATGGATTTATTGATATTTCCAATCAGAATGCAAATTCTGCCGAGATATTTCGTAAATTTTGCTTACATGATGCTTGCACTTCCTTATTTTTGAGTTTTTCCCACTTACCATCTTAGGTTTTGGGTTTCCAAGTTTTGTGATCCAGTTATCCATATGATCAATGTGCTGAGATTGGGATTGTGGGATCTGAAACAAGGTCAAGCTGGGGAATAAGGTGACAGACTACCAAGTGCCAAACTTGGCATGAATTGAGGGAACCTAGGCCCTACAATTATGTCACCAAGAGATTTATGAGAGAAGACAAACAATCCAGCAGATTCCTGGCATGCTTTGTGCTCACATAATTGAGCTCAAATTTGAAGATGGGTAGAGATGAACTCAGGGTGCTAACTCTGTATACAAAGTCAGGCATGGGCCCAGCCCAACACGGCCTCACTTCATAATTTTGTCAAACTTAATCATTACTCAACTCCATCCATTGTCACAAAGGAAATCATAATGTTTTTCATAGAACAAGACCTGACTATGAAACATTCCCAACTGATTAGAAGAAAACACTTTTAGCCATAGAATCCCAACAGTTAAATTGGACACCACATTGAAAGGAACACCAAGCAGTGAAAACAATGTTGTATAAGGTTACTGATAAAAAATAGCATTCGGGATATCTCAATAATTAAAATGGCCAACCTAAAAGGCTAAGGTTTCAAAGTTGCTCGAGTGGCAAATCTTCCGTTGGTGAATCACATTACAATTGTTAAAGCTTAAAACTTTGAAAGATTACTCAAAGAAAGTATTTTGAAAGTATTTTGAAAGATTAACATTATCACTAGAAAAATAATCATAGGATAAAGCTTACCCGACAGGCACTTCAAGGCTGTTCAGAGCTTCTTTCGCCTGTTGCACCAAAAAGAAGAAATAAATTAAACCCAGAAATGTAAACAAGAATCTAAATTGAAAGCAATAAAGAAGCATTCCCTGGTTACCCTTTTGCCTAATATAATCATCTCAGTTAACACAAAGGTTTTCATGGATTACCTGTTCTATAGCGAGCTCCATGAATGCCAAAGTCTCAGAAGAACACCCTTCTTCCACATGAGAATCCATCTATGAAATACTGAGATAGAGAAATCACCAAAAGAATCAATAAGAACTCAAGCCTGTTGGTTTTTCAGTGATGTGTTTAACTTGTTTGTTACAATGCCTAAACAAAATTACAAGCTTTGAAGCTTCAAGTTTGGCTAGTGCAAGTGGTTGTTGTTAGCATCTCAGTGAGGTGTTTCTTTATGAGGATTTAGAATGGTCTATAACCTTGAATTTAATAACAAGAAAAATATATGATAATTAAATAAAGCAAAATTGAGAATAACGAGAAAAATACCAAAAAAGATTGAAACTTTAGTGAGAATTTCTGGTCTATAACCTTGAATTCAAGTGGGATTTTCAATCCAACAAATATAAGATAATTAAACAAAGAAAAAATTGAGAATTCCAAAGAAAAAAATTTTAAAAAAAAATCAGCACTAGTAACTAGGGAATTCAAAGAAAATCCTGGAATTTGGGGGAAACCATGTAGAATTAGGTGAACTGCTAGAAAAGCTAAAAGATTCCACCTTTTTGGTGATGTAATTGTGAAGTAACAAATACCCTAAAACCCTAAAAAGTACAAGCGAGAAAAGTATCAATTATTTCTGTAGAAGAAAAGGAGAGAAGGCCAAGAGTAAAAAGAATATTTTACAAAAGAGGAGGAACCTAGAACCATATAATAAAAAATCCCTTTATAAAATCAAACCCCATTTTACTAATCTTAAAGAGAATAAAGATAATCCTGATGGATTGAGAGCAACATATAACCCTTGTAATCTAAACAATTATGATGGAAGAAAAGGTGCCTAAAAGAAAATGGAAATAACCATCCATGTATAATGCAAACGAAAACAGATTATCATGAATGGTTATGCAAGGACAATATGTTTATGCATGGGCATTCCAATAGTCTGATTACAAGTTCACACACAACAGATCTACCACAATGACATCAACAGTTTATGGGGGGGGAAAATGTCCAAAGCAAACTCTTCTGGTTCCTGTAAAAGCTTCTAAAGGATAAACACTTGGAAAGATAACACTTTTAAATTGATGCTTCACACTGGACTCGGCAACATTAAAAAATGGGCTCCACAACATGTTATGACATGCAATGTACTTATCCATAAACATATATTGGTTACAGAGGCAAATAAGACTTGGAATTGGAGTGGTTCTAGAAACAAGCAATAAAAATCAGGCTCACTGCGATAAAAAGAAAGACTTTCAAGCAATGACAATTCCATTAATCTATTTCCAATAGTCTGATCACAAATTCACACACAACAGCTTATGTCCGTGACAAGAACAACAATCAGGCTGTGTGAAGAGTTCTTGTATAAAAAATCATTCTTTCCTTTCTTGTCTATGCATGAGAAGAAGAAAAAAAATGAAATGAAATATAAAATTGCAGTTTACTTATGATTTTTGCGGTATTTGGTATTGAGGTTAAACCTGCTTTTCATCAAAAAAATTTAAAAAAATTGCTTCAATTTTTTTTTTTTGATGTTTTTTTATTGTTTTAACATACTAATATAAAAATGAATATAAAAAATAAAAAATAAAAACATTTTTAAGTTAAAAACATTTTGAAAAACAACCTCTACCCAACTTTCAAACACCCTCGAGCTATAGGTAACAAGAGCTGGTTTGCCTAGGTCTGCGCATACAGAAACAGAGAGACAACCAGAGCAAGTTTCAAAAACATACTCCTGCAAACACGTTTCAAAATTGAATTTCAATAAGCTAAACACTGAAAAGAAATCAACTCAAACAAAAATAAAGACAAACCACCATCATAATTACAAGGTCTAGTAATTTGGTAAAAAAGATCAATAAATAAACCAACCAAAACCCAGTTTTAAACACATACGTAGCATGCAAAAGGTTAACCTTTCATCCAAGGAGGACAAACTCCTTTTACCTCTCTCTCACTTGCTCCACAAAAAAAAAATGGATATTTTAAGCCTGCCCAAGTCAATTATATTCTACAGGGAGATAAAAAAACTTCCATGTGCAGCAATTCTTTTTGAAAAGCAAAGCATGACTAATCAGGCAATTGGCCCATTTGGCAAATAATCATGTGATAGAAAGGACAATGTGCTAACTAATGTTTGCAATTCCATTTTGAAAGTAAACTTTTGGGACTGACCTAAGCGAGAGGGGTGGTTGCTGGCTGCGCCGCGCGAGATAGAGGGAGGAGGGTGGTGCCGTGATTTTACGAGTTAACGTAGCTTGCAAAAGGTTAACCTTTCATCCAAGTAGGACCAACTCCTTTTAGCTCTCTCTCACTTGCTCCACAAAAAAAAATGGATATTTTAAGCCTGCCCGAGTCAATTATATTATACAGGCAGATAAAAAACTTCCATGTGCGGCACTTCTTTTTGAAAAGCAAAGCATGACTAATCAGGCAATTGGCCCATCTGGCAAATAACCATGTGATAGAAAGGACAATGTGCTAACTAATGTTTGCAATTCCATTTTGAAAGTAAACTTTTGGGACTGACCTAAGCGAAAGGGGTGGTTGCTGGCTGCGCCGCGCGAGCTAGAGGGAGGATGGTGGTGCCGTGATTTTACGAGTTAACTCGCGATTTTGACACCAATGCTCACGACAGTTTCTCTCTCCTCTCAGTGCATGTTCTTGTTGATTTCGGCCTCCACCGCCACCCTTAGCCACCACAAACGAGGTCCAAGCGTAAAATCTATGTATTGAAAACTGGGAAGAGAAGAAAAAAGAAGAGCTGAAATTGAATATATTTCAAGCTTGAATTGAAGGTTCGTTCAAGAAGAAGAAGCAAATTGGGTGAAATGAAGAAGGCATTGGAGGAATTAGGGATTCGATTTCTACGGGATTTCTCTTTTTTTCTTTCAAATTCTTCTCTTCTTATTTACCCCCGACTTTCCGACCGTCGCTTGTCGCCTGAACATTTCAATACAACGATGATTTTTACCCCTGTTCAAAACGACGTTCTTAATTATAAAAAAAAAAAAATCATCCTTGGGTCAACCGCTGGTCACCTAGGTTTGACCGTGCGAATTTCCAACTAGGCTAGTAGCTATCCTGATGAACCCGAAACGGTCTAGAACCCGGGTCCACTAGTTCTTGGGTTGAACCAGTGGTTGGCGCAAGTTTTAAAACACTGAATAAGACTACCTATAATATAATTGTGAGGTGTTTTTTTTAGGTTTGCTCTTTATTGAGCGTAGCTTGTCGTCTGAACATTTCAATACACCGATGATTTTTATCCCTGTTCAAAACGACGCTGTTAATTAAAAAAAAGCTCATCCTTGGGTCAACATCTGGTCACCTAGGTTTGACCTTGCGAAATTCCAAGTAGGCTAGTACTAGTAGCTATCCTAATGAACCCGAAACGGTCTAGAACCCGGGTCTACTAGTTCTTGGGTTGACCCAGTGGTTGGTGCAAGTTTTAAAACACTGAATAAGACTACCTATAATATAATTGTGAGGTGTTTTTTTTAGGTTTGCTCTTTATTGAAAACCTAGAAATTTAGAAAGGACAAATATATTCCCTTTAAAAAGTATTTATATTTTATTAAATTATTTCTCTCGGAAGATAAATAATGCCTTATTAAACTATTCACGTTAGTTAGTGTTTATAAAGGATTTTGAGAACTGTTATTTTACATGAAAATATCAATGGATTTATTTATCATTAAATCAATAAATTCTTAAAACGGGTGACGTGGATGTCACTCTACGAGTTTATAATGAAAATAATCAACTTGAAATAACTGACGGTGGTAGATAATTTGACAAGTCATCGCTCCTCGGCTCCACCTTTTTGCAACTAAGAGAAATTCATGGCTTCCTTGTTTATAAAGCCAGCATATTTACTTATTAAAAGTCTATTTAAAATTATAGTTGTATTTATTTTTTAAAATATTTTTTTATTAAAAATTATAATAATAATATTTTTTATTTTTTAAAAATTATTTTTTAGATTAATATATTAAAATAATTTATAAACATTAAGAATATATTAATTTAAAATAAACATTTTTAAAATACAATACCAACCATGCCCAATAATCTATGAACATACACATGCAGTTCAATTATGAACTCACATTGATGAGCCCATTGAAACGAAATTAGGTGCCGGTAAGAGCATTAATGGGGGTAGATTGCGTTTTTTCTCATGATATTCATGTGATTTTCCACATGATTTTGGTTATTTCGAACGGAAATGGCTTGTGCTCTGTATATTTTCATCTCACCTTTTTTTTATAACAAGAACTTTATGAGATGTTTGGAAATATTGTAAGGATAATGATTGTTTTTTAAAATATATTTTGTTTTAAAATAATATTTTTTTATTTTTAAAAAATATTTTTAATATTAACATATCAAAATAAATTAAAAACACTATAAAAATTATTTTGAAGCACATAAAAAATAAAAAAAATAAATTTTTAAAATGTAAAAACAAACAAGCTAAGGCTGCATTTGTTTTCCGCTAGTTTTTACGTTTGCGGTGAAATAAATACAATAAGGTATTTGGTAACAAACCAAACTATATTTTATGCTGCGGGATTTATTAAAAATTTAAGTTTAAAATATAATTTTTATTCAATAGTTTTTACATGTTTTTTTAACTAAATTTCATAAAAATTTCTAGAATTTTGTTTGTTTTTTGTTTCAAATACATTTTCAAATAAAAAATATTTTAAAAAATAACCACACTTCCAAACATAACTACCAAACATTTTTTTTTTGTTACATGTAAACTTTAATTATAAATTTTATCAAACACACATACAAATCCAACTAACCATAACTAAACACATTTTTTTTAATACTTTTTTTTTAATTACAACCACAAAAAAGGTCTAAAAAACAAACATATTTATCTGAGAATAAACTCATGTTCAAGAACAGAAAATTGGTTCGCTCTCCTGTGTTTGTATTAAGTTTCTTAATCATAACTAAAAGAATTAAAAAAGAAAAGAGCGAGTTAATTTGTACTTTGTATTAATATTGAACCATCAAGAGCCTCTTAGCTGCTAAATAACGCTATCGATAACTTTCTTGAACCCAAAGAAGAAAAAAAACTCAAGCAGCATCTTTCCAAAAACTAGAAAACAAAGAGAAAATATAGAGCCCAGGGTAAAAACACTCGTCGGCCATACTTCTATATCCTCCTCTCCTTAACCAGCCTCCATCTCCTCGGGTTTTAGCGTAGAAGATGAAAAGAAAGCATGTAAATAATGCAACACACAAGATACCATCATCAGAGTAGTGATGATGATGATGATGTTCACAGCTTCTTCTTCTTCTCTTGCTCATCACTTCTTGGATTCGGCCTTCTCACAAATCTTCCCTGTAACGTTACAAGAATTATAAATTAGAGTAGAGAAGAAGGTTCAAGCTACCTTTTATTTTTAGTAAATTCAATAAAAGAGCTAATTTCTTGCAGAAAGAACTTCCAGATAACAAAGACTAGCGAATATTTCTTAGGGGTCAGGGGCAATGGCTCCCCTAAACTTTGAAAAATCTTATATTTTACTTCTAAGATCTTGAATTTCTTTAATCATTTCCTTCAATTTAAAGTTTATTTTATATAAAATATATGTTTTGCATCCCAAAAGTTACAGTGAAATATGATAAACTATTTGAATAAGACTTATTTAACATCATATATTAAGAAGTTGTTTTACTATCCATTTGAGAGCTATCAATTTTAAAGTTTATTTGGTATTATGCCGGTATTAATTGTTTTTTAAAGTAATTTTATTTATAAATTTATTAAAATAGTGTTTTTTAAAAATGTTTTTAAAACAAAAAATAACCCTGATCTGAAAAGCAACATAGAGGATATAACATCAACCTCCCACTTTCCACTTTTCAGGGTATAATTAACTGAGATCACCAAGTGATCTCAGCAAAAAGAAAGTACATAACATGGAGCTAGGGGGGGAAAAGTGTACCTTCATTCTGGGCCGTTGATCAGCGTTGACTTTTCTGACCTGGTATCTGATCTTCTTCGAGAAAAGGCGTGTACGCCGCTTTTCTTTGTAGCGCAAGACGCTAGCTTCCCTCATTCCATTCTCTGAGAATAAATCAATCTGTGCCAGCCAGGCCTGCCGCAAAAATAAATAAATAAAAACAAATTAGAACCTTCAAAAAACCCATGAAATAATCACAGATTCCTATCCCTTCAACCTCATTTATTACTAATTAACACAAATAATTCTCAATAAACGTTAGGGATTGAGAACATCTAGTGGCAATTCGAATAAATTGAATGATCCCACAGCAATTATTGCGAGAAAATTAATTTTGAACAAATTAAAATAGTTAATATATTTATACAATAATGCCACCCCAATTTGCCTCAACCTAAATGCCACGCAAGCAACAACAATAATTGAGTCATCTAATTGAATTGCCTGCTCGGCAAACCAATTTGCCTCAACCTAAATGCCACGCAAGCAACAACAAATCTTGGGTCATCTAATTGAATTGCCTGCTCGGCAAAATCGAGTTTGATTGTTTCAAAAAATAAAAACAAAGCAAACGTTAAAAAAAGGCTACTACTTTATCACACGGAATGAAGGCCAGCACCATTAATAAAAAAAAAAGAAGGAGTTGATTAGAGCAATAGTATTCAAATAATAATAATAATAAAAAAGAATAGTCACATTTAAAGCTTCTCAAAAAATAAAAATAAAAAGAATAACTAAGGTCCCACTAATTAACAAAAGGTCGTAGCATTAGCACCGTTGGCTGGATTATTATTGGTAATGGTAGGTAGCTCTTTCCGAAATATGCTTTTTTATTTTCTTAGAATCTCAAAAACAATAAAATACTCAGAAAAATCAAAACGTATGTAAAATATCAACTTAAAAAATTAAAATAAAAACTATATATTAAAAATTGGCACCACCTTGATGGTAGGAAGCGAAAACTACAACTATTTTACTAAACACGTTTATAACCTATTCAATTAATCTATTAAAGTTTGAAACTTTTTTTTTTTTCATGTGAAATTCATTTCCCGGCAGGAGATGAGAAACATACAGAGACATCATTTCCTTCGGCACATCCAATACTTTCGTCGGAAAATGGCGATCCACGGCCGGACCACTCGCTCATGACATGATCGTAATTCAATTTCAATATCAACCCTCGACTGGATTGTGGAATAGAATCCACCTTGACTGGATTTTCGTCTTTCAACTCCACATTCTTATCTTCCATCACAGCTGGTTTCTCTACTTTCTCCACTTTCTTTTTCTTCTTTTCGCTGCTCGAACTGGTTTTCATTTTCAACTTTGGTTTTGGCTTTGGCTTTGGAATTGAATTGCATTCTGGACCATTGTTGCTATTGGCATTTGCGGTGGCGGTCACGGTGGTGGTGAGTCTTGGAGAGATTTGTAACATATCAACAATCGGAAAATCCCACCAATTTCCTTCATCAACATGCCTCAAAGCTCTAACACCCATTGCAATTCCATGAACATATTGTGATTTCCCGCCAAAATTATATCCCATTGAATTCCCATACCAAGAATTCATTTGACCACCAAAACTAGAACTAATGCCATTAGGCACCTCTTCAAACATTTCATTGCCTGCACTTAAATGCCCCATAATACTATCAATACCCTCCTCAAATTCCTCATCAAGAATGGATTCCGCGTCGAAATCCTCATCGAGTCCATCACACATTTCCGCTGAATTCCCGTGGAAATCAACTTCCCCGCTGCTCTGGCAAGAGGACTTATCTGTGAAATTCGCAAGTCTCGACTCATTTCCATAACTGGGTTTTCCTTGGATTGGTTGGTGAATTAGGAATCCAGAGTTGTCGAAGACGCGAAAAGGCAATAACAAGTCAGAGGATTGGTCAAGGAGGAGACTGTTGTCCTGGGGTTTGGTGAATTTGCTAGATTTTGTGAGGTGCTTGGTGGAGAAAAGGTTTGGATAGGCAGTGGAAAGAAGAGCAGCTGCTTCATTGTAAGTTTGATTAGGCCTTTTGCGAGGAGTTCTTGATTTTCTTGTTGAGATTGCTAACGGGGAATTGCTAGATTCAGAGATAGTTGAAGATGGTGAAGATGTGTGTGATGTTCTTGTTGAGGAAGTAGATGAGGATTTGACTATTTCTAAATCAAATCCATAGGTTCTACCACCTCCACTTATACATGGAGAAGACATTTTAAAGGCGACAATAACAAGAAGAATAACAAAAAAGATTAAAACTTTATTGAGAATTTCAGGTCTGTAGCCTTGAATTCAAGTGGGATTTCAATCCAACAAATACAAGATCATTAAATAAAGTAAAACTGAGAATTCCAAAGACTGAAAAAAAAGATTAGTACTAGTAACTAGGGAATTCAAGGAAAAACCTGGAATTTGGAGGAACCCGGGTAGAAGTAGTAGAACTGCTAAAAAAAGCTAAAAGATTCCACCTTTTTGATGATGTACTTGTGAAGTAACAAAAACCCTAAAACCCTAAAAAGTACGACGAACGAGAAAAAGTATCAATTATTTCTGTAGCTTAAGAAAAGGCCAAGAATATTTTACAAAAGAGGAAGAACCTAGCACCATATTAAAACAAAAGGAAACCCCTTTTTAAAATCAAACCCCATTCTTAAAAACCCATATGAAAGAAAAAGAAAAGGAAAAGAAGAAAGTAATAAAAGACTTAAGCTTTTCTTATTCTCAGACAAAAAAACAAGGGGTTCCTAAAACCCCATGAAAAACCCAGAATCGGGAGCTAGCATGAGAGTTAGTTAAGGAAAAGATTGTAAAAGAAAGGAAAGCTAACCAATAAGTGAAGAAAAAACTGTTAGCCCAGAAACAGTCATAAATTTAGGATATAAAGAGAATAAAAATGAATAAAACAAGAAAAGGGAAGGGATTTTATTTTGTGGGCACAGCCGGAGCCAAGTTGCTAGCAAGAAGGTCACGAGTAGAGGCAGATAGAAAGAAAAAGATCTGCTGAAGGAGTTCTGTAGATATAGTGATACATGGCGAAAGCACAGAGAGACAGAATGCCACCCTCTCTCTCTCTCTCTCTCTCTCTCTCTAATTGTGTGGGGCTGGACTGAGAAGTTAAAGGGGTGAGATTAGAAGAGAACAGGAGAAGAGACAATGCTAGTTCCCGCTGCGGGGCCATTCCTTTTGGTTTGCTATCTCTCTCTTTCCAATTATTTTGTCATGCTTATTTACATCACTGGCCCTCTCCTTGTTTGTTGGCTTAAAATTAATTATTCACTATTTCACAACCAAGATCTAAACTACTACTCATTGATCTTATAATCAGAGAAAATAACGATGGTAGTTGTGATCTTCCAACGCACTAACTCCCATGAATTACTTTCTTTTTCATTTTTTAGTTTTTTTTTTTAAGGTTTTAAAGTAAGAAAGCACAAGTATAGTTGTATGGTATACCTAATTTCTTTTTTAAAAAATTAAAAAAAAAATGATGGTGAGAAGCCAATTCCCTCCTAAAAGTGATCTTAGCATCAAGAATCCCATCTCACTATTTATTTTTCTCGCAACTACTTAATTGATAGGGTATGCGAAGAAGTTGAAAAGAAGATCACAAGGGATAATAAATGTGGGAGCCTGTTTATTTTTGTAATTTAAAAGTATTTTTAAAAGGATTTAATTTTTTTATTTTTATTTCAAGATAAATTAAAAAAATAAAAATGTATATTATTTTAATTTATTAAGTAATATTCTAAAAAACATAGAAAAAATACCGTAGCTTTCTTAACGCCTTTTAACTTTTCTCATTATTTTCCCATTCCCCGCGCCTTTTACTTTCCCCCTTATTTTCCTATTATTAATATATTATTATCATTATTATTATATTATATTATATTATAATCATATTATAACATATATATATATATATAATATTTTTTAATTCATTTTTATGCTTTTATGGGTTTTTTCTTTCTCTTTATGTTTTTTTTTCATGAATTTTTTTTGTTTAATTTAGTTTGTTAATGGTAAAAAAAATTATATTTAGTTATCAGATTTTCATAACACGGATCTTGAGTTTGATGAATTAACCTGATTTGACGAGTTAACTCGAAATTTTATTTTTTTATTTTTTTTCTATTTAATTATCAGATTTTCATAACACGGATCTTGAGTTTGATGAATTAACCTGATTTGACGAGTTAACTCGAAATTTTATTTTTTTATTTTTTTTCTATTTAATTATCAGATTTTCATGACACGTATCCCGAATTTAACAAATTAACCCAGTTAATTAAAGGTTAACCCATTATTATTTTTTCTATTTAATGATCAAATTTTCATGACGTGAATTTAAGGTTCGACGGGTTAACCTGATTTGAAGGGTTAACCCAATTAATTTAGATTTTATTTTTTTCATTAGTTTTTTTTCTTCCTGTTGTTTTTTTATTTTTTATTTTTTTAATTAATTTATTAATTATCACACTTTGATAACACGACCTTCCAGCCAGACTCATATCTAAGGCTCATGGGTTCAGTGTTGCAACCAAACTTACTTAAACTTGAGTAATGTAAGTTTAATAATATTAATAATATTTTAAATATTACTCTTGGGTTAAGCATTGCAGTTAGACCAAAGATTTTTTAGTGTATTTTTGCTAAAAGACATAACACTCCTGGATTTTAGCATTTTTTAATTTTTTTATGCAAGAAAAAAAACTCGTGATGTATGCCTTTGTTTCTTTTTTTATTCTTTTTTTGTTTTATAATTATTCTTTTAATTGAGTTTCTTAATATTAAATTTTTTCTATTTAATTATTAAACTTTCATGACATGGATCTCAGGTTTGACAGGTTAACCCAGTTGATTCATATTATTTTTCTTTTTTCTCATTGGTTTTATTCTTCAGATTTCATCTTTTAATATTATATATAATCCATGGTGAAAAGACTGATGTCTTTATTTTTTTTTCTTTCCATGCCTTTCAATGTAGACTGCACAGTACAATTCACGGTGAAAAGGCTGATATCTTTTTTTTAATTAATTTTTTTATTTAGTTTGTTGATATTAATTTTTTTCTATGTAGGTATCAGACTTTCATGACATGGATCTTAGGTTTGACGAGTTAACCTAGTTAATTCAGGTTTTTTTTCTTCATGTTGTTTGTTTTCTTTGGTTTTTTTAATTAATCTATTTAATTATTATATTTTTATGACACAACTTTATAGCCAGACCTGCATCCAAGATTATTAGGTTTCATATTACAACCAAACCCACTTAAACTTGGATCATTCAAGTTTATTGTTATTATAAATATTATTCTTGGTTCAAGTATTATAATTAAATCCAAAATTTTTGATATAATTTTATAAAAAGACAAATATTTTTAAATTTTAATTTTTTTAATATTTTTTTATATAAAAAAATTAACCCACAGCATTAATATAACTGGTTTTCATACAAATGATATCATAATATTAAATAAATCAAATTAACCATCTCCTGGCGCCCCTCGCCATTAGAATAGATTAATTTACGTGGGATTTTACGGGGCAGATTTCTTATCTGCTGAGATGGCAGGATCTCATTGGATATCTTAGATTTTTCAGTGCTTAGATGGCGAGAAGTTTAATGGTCAGAGGATCATCACGTGTATCAAGGCAGAGCAATGATTTGAACCTTTTTTGTTCCTTTCGCATTCCACTGTGTGGCAGATAGGTAGCATACGTTGGGCATATTAGCATCGTTAACTTTAGTTCCTTTTCTTTTACTATAATAATAATAAATATATATATATATATATATAAATATAAATATATAAATGATCGTTCTCCGTTGAGATTGTTTGGAAAAAGGCAATAGAAATCTTAATTTCCTTAAATATCTAAAACGAGGAAAATAATTTATAGGCACGTAAACGGGCTAAAACTTTATAACATAAGAGATTGATGTAACTGAATATATAACAATCGATAAACTATAGATCTCATAAATCTTACTATAGTATAGTATAGTATAGAATATAATATTTATTGTTTTATTTATTACAGAAATAGGATGCTAATGTTTTATTTTTATATAAACAAAGTCATTATCTTCTGCTCTTTTAAGGTTCTCGGCCGCCTTCCAAGAGTCGAGGCCTTTTCTTTTCGTGATATTTTCTCTAAATATCCCAAACATCTGCAACACAGACACTTATGCCACCGTAAATATCGGGCCTGTCTTTAAACACATGTCTCATTCACCGGAATAACCTGGATCTTGTCTTCCCCCTCCCTCCGTCCCTCGCCAGTGACTCGCAATATAGATTATTTATTGTTGCCGTGTGGTGATGGTTTTTTTAAAATTAAATGATATTTCTTATATTGTTTTAATATATTAATATAAAAAAATTTAAAAAATAAAATATATATTATTTTAATATATTAAAATAATTTTTTCAAAAACAATGTTACCATACTATCAAATACTACCTAAAGCTTTATTTTTTAAATTAATAAATCTAGATTTTTTATAAAAAAGAAGAAGAGAGAGTGTGGTTTATTAATTGATTTAAAATATATTGATATCCCTATTCTATCCATGATTGTTTTGAAATGGAAAGAAATTACATCCAAAATTTTCTAATTGATTCACTGATAATTCCATGATTAAAGGATAGTTGAGATATAAGAGCATGAAGGAAAATATCTTAAGAAAGATTAATGTATTGTAAGGGTTTTATTTATTCATTTGTTTTTATCCCCCAACAATTTCTCATGTATTCTCATTTTCATGTCGATTAATATAGAAATAGGTTTAAGTTATTCTTTTTTTTTTGAAAAAAAACACAAAGAGAGAATGTTTTTTTCTTAACTACACTTAAATTGGATTTTCTTTTTCTTTATATACTCTTAAACTCACTCAAACACTGAATGAATAATAACATGAGAAAAGGTAACTCAGTGACCAGCGATCCATTACTATTAACAAAAACAATGAAATATATGATATTTTTATTGTATATCACTTTAAAATATTATTGATTTGAATAATATTTTTTTTATTTTTTATTTATTACGGATTGAGTTTCATAATTTATTTTAATTTATTTTTTATAAAGTTATCATGACTTTGTAATCCAAGTTAAGAATTTGACAGGTTCACCATGTTAGTTTATATTTTTTTTAATTTTATCTTTTTATATTTTTTTGATTGAAAATTAAGTTTTAAAATTTGTTTTAATTTACTTTTTATTTAATTATCTTGTTCTCATGACTCGAGCCATGAATTTAGTGGGTTAACTTGGGTATTCTTTTTATTAATTTTTATTAATTTGATTTTTTTTCAATTTCATCATTTAATATTGGATTAATTAAAAATTAACTTTCATAATTTGTTTGATTTGTCTTTCATTAGGTCATCTCAATCTCATAACCCACGGTGTGAGTTTAGTATGTTAACTTGAGTTGACTCTATTTATTTATTTTATTTACTTTCTATAAGTTTATACAAGTTTTATGATCCGAGTCATGAGTTTGGTGAGTTAACCTGAATTGACTCAAGTTATTTTTTGTGTTTTTTTAATTGGTTTTTTTTTTAAATCATACTTTGATATTGAGTTGATTGAGAATCAAGTTTCATAATTATTTTAATTTATTTTTTATGAAGTTATCTCGATCTCATGTCACTGATCGCATGTTTTATAGGTTAACTCGGGATGACTCATGTTTTGTTTTTTAATTGAATTATTTTTCTATTTTATCTTTCAACATTGAGTTAATTAGAAATTATAGTTTACAGTTTGTTTTGATTTATTTTCTACGAGATTATCATGATCTCATTACTAGAGTCGTGAAGTTGGCCAATTAACTCGAATCAATCAAACATGTCGTAGTTTTAATATTTAAAAAAATATTATTTTAAATTTTTTATTTGAATTAAATTATATTTTTATTGATTATTTATATTCTCTTTAAGCAATTAAATTGATCATATTAGGCAGTGAAATTTTTTTTGTGCAAGAAAAAAACATTAGTAAATCCTGAGTATATTTTTTTAACCTTTTAA